TTTTCAACTACTCGGAGTGTTCAAGTTATGCGTCGCAATCTACAGACTTAGGCAATTCCTTTGAAGCGCGTTTAACTCATAAAAGTTTTAGTATTTGACGTCACGGTAGACTTTTAACAAAAGAAAAGTGTAATTAAACTAAGCTGCGTTTTTCTACTGTAGTATTTTTTTAACATACAGCAAAACAAATTTATTTGTATTATTTTTCCAAACATCGCAAAAAAAATTTTGTAAAAAGTAAAAACAATAAATTATTTTTGTTTTATAGGAGCAACTTATTTTTTACAGATATCTTAATAATTTTTAAATTTATATATCTTACTTATATTTCTTTAATTATTTAAATTAAAACAAATATTAAAGCTTAACTTACTAATTTCATGATTTTCATACGAGTATTTTACATTATATAGAACGTTTTATATACGGTCTCTTATTTTTGCGCAAGAAAGCGCAGTATTATATATTCTGATTCTTAATTATTTTTATTTAAACAATGGGAACTATTTTCTAACTTCTCTGGTTATTTTTACGCTATGACAATTTAATTAATTTAAATTGTTAAATTTGCTGAATTAGATACGGATAAAAAGGAAATACTATTTTATTTTACATTTGATTTTTGATAATGAAATTTTTAAAATGTCAGCAACCATACCAATGTTAAGATTTTGAAAAAAAAAGTACAAGAATACACTAAACAATACAGTTACCAGTAGTATCAGATATGAAAATTCGTGAAAGGATATGTGAGATCCTGATTTTGCATTAAAAGTACAATTAATTGCAACACAAGTCGGCATTATAAATTTTGATTATAAGTTTACTGTTCAATATTTTATAACCATCAAATAAAAAACATGAAGTTTGTATATTTTCGCCCGTTTTATACAACTAATATTTAACAAAAATACAGACAAATTATTATTAAATAGCGCAATAATTAACACATTAATTAAAGGCAATAATTCAAGATAGATGGTGATTTAAATTGTTAAAATGTCATAACGCGCATTAAAAAACATTATATTTGGTATTTCCAAATTTGTGTCATAATTGGCATTTGTCTCTTAACATAAAAAATAAAAAAATTTTAAAAACACAATTAACAAATACAAATTTTCAAGCAATTTTCTCTTCCAATTCTCATTTATTCAAAGAAAATTTACTATTAAACTTTCATTTCTCTCATCTAAAAAAAGAACGAGTGACGCAAAAAATATATATATTCTATACAACTCTTATTCATTCAAAGTTTAATTACGCGAAACTTTTCTTTCTCTTTTGTTCTACTCTTTTATAAAAAGAGCGCCTGATGAAATAAAAACTTTTCTTTTTTAACATATAATTATAGTTTGAGATAAAATTAAATTAGAAATAAATCAACAATGAGCAAAGCAACGAACTGATTAGTCTGGAACTATTTTGATATTTATGAAAATAATCAACATAAACAACATTACCAACAACAGTTATCAAATAAATAACACAATCTCGCATAATTTTAAGGGCATTTTATTTTTATTGCTTAGTCGTTCTAAATAATAAGTAAATTTAGTTCAAGTTAATAATTCAATATTTACAGTTGCAATATAATAAAGAAATGGTGTTTAATACTGAACTTTTTATTTAGTTATTTATTTTTTTACCTACATTTGTTATAAAAAACTTTAGAACCCCCGTCATTAAAATAATTTGTTTTAAATATATTTCGACATGATTATTCAAACTTATTTTTTTCGTTTGACTTTCCGAACTTCATGCAAAGCAAATTGAAACGAAATATCGTCTAACCAAATAAAAAAGCTGTTACTAATTTTATACGGGTAATTAATGTAAAACAATTTTTGAGATAAATATTTTTTACTTAGATAAATATTTTTAATTTTATACGGGTAATTAATGTAAAAAAATTTTTGAGATAAAAATTTTGAGATAAATATTCATAACTTATAAACATTAAATATATGGCGCAATAACAATTTATAGCAACGAACCAGCATAAAATATTTAAGGTTTTTAATATCTTTTTAAATATTAAAAGTAGAAAAAAAAAAAAAAAACTAAACAAATAACCAAAAAAACTTCGACTAAAAATAAATAAAAATATTTCCAGAGTTTCTTTTGTTAAAAGTCTACCGTGACGTCAAATACTAAAACTTTTATGAATTAAACGCGCTTCAAAGGAATTGCCAAAGTCTGTAGATTGCGACGCATAATTTGAAGACTCCGAGTAGTTGAAAAAAATGGAGAAGACGAGCTTTGTCAAAAACAACAACATTTGTTTTTCACAGTATGCATTCATTATTTATTTTTAATCAAAAAAATTTGCTTCAAACTTTTTTTTTTAACATTATCTTTAATATGAACACAACATGTATTGGGAGTTTGGGATCCCTTTAAGGCCCACAACTTTTGTCTTTCTCAATCCCTAACTCAAATAGTCAACTTTCCAACTCGCTTTCCAGACAACCCGAATCATTTACCTTCTCTACTCGACTTATGTCTTGTTTCTGATCCTAGTCAGTGCTCAGTTTCTTCACACTCACCCTTAGGTGCTTCTGATCATGGTTTGGTCTCTCTAAAACTATTATCTCATTCTTCTTTACTATCAGAATCCTCCTATCATTGTACATCTTACAACTACCTTAAAGCTGACTGGGACTCTTTCCATGATTTTCGTCGTGATGGCCCCTGGGTAGAAATCTTTCGTCTCCCTGTTGACAAATGTGCTTCTTACATAACTTCGTGGATTTAGGCTGGCATGGAATCCTTTATTCCCTCTCGACGATTCCAGGTCAAGCCTCACTCTTCTCCATGGTTTTCCTCACATTGTGCTGCTGCAATTGCCAATCGAAACCACTACTTCCATATCTATCAGCAAAACAATTCTCCAGAAAACAGATGTCTGTTTATTACTGTTAGGAACCATTGTAAAAAGGTTTTGTCTAATGCCAAAGCCCGCTAATCTCAGATCATGAAATCTCGTATTTCATCACAAAAATTAGGCTCTCGTGACTTCTGGAGAATCTTTAATAGTATTAATAATAAGGGAAAGTCTGTAATTCAACCTCTTTTGTATGGTTCAGACTTCGTCACCTCTTCTAAAGACAAAGCTGAATTGTTTGCCAAGAACTTTTCACCAATATCATCTCTTGATGCCACTAGTTGCGTTCGACTTGATATAGCCGTCAAACAGGTTTATCCATTGCTCGACATTCGTATCACTCCAGCTTCTGTATCTAAAGTGATTTCCCGCTTAGACTCTTCTACAGCTTGTGGCCCAGACAACATACCTGTTATAGTCTTGCAGAAGTGGTCTCCGGAGCTGTCGTTTATCCTTTCAAAACTATTTAACAAGTGCTTATCAGAGTCTTGTTTTCCAGCCTGCTGGAAAGCAGCATCTGTTATCCCTATTTTTAAAAATTCTGGAGAGCGATCCAATTCATCTAACTACCGTCCCATTAGTCGTCTTCCTATCATAAGCAAGGTTTTTGAATCTTTAATTAACAAACACTTAATCTCGAATCTCATAACCTACTTTCTGATCATCAATATGGATTTCGATCTTCTCGTTCTACGGCTGATTTGCTATCAGTAATAACCGATAGGTTTTATCGCGCATTAGATAAAGGTGGAGAGGTTAAGGCCATTGCTCTTGACATTTCTAAAGCATTTGATAAAGTTTAGCATGCTGGTCTTCTCCATAAGCTTTCTTTTTACATCTGGAAACATCTTTAAGATTATTGAATCCTTTCTTTCCAATCGTAGTATAAAAGTTGTCCTTGATGGACAGCACTCTTCTTCTTATTCTGTAACCTCAGGGGTTCCCCAAGGTTCAATCCTTGACCCTATACTCTTTTTAATTTACATTAACGATCTTCCAGATATTCTCACATCTAAGGTGGCATTGTTCGCTGATAATACTACCATTTATTCTTGTCACAATAAGAAGCCAACTCCCTCTGATTGCTTGCAGGGGGCATCTGAGCTTGAAAAGGATCTCACTTCTGCTACAGCATGGGGCTCACAGTGGCTAGTAAACTTTAATTCAATTAAGTCTCATCCTTTTTCTGTTACTGTTCCTAAGTGCTCCAAAAACTCTTATTCGTCTAGTTTATTTCCTCGAACATCAGTTCTTTGGAATTCACTTCCCTCATCTTGCTTTCCTAATTCATATAACTAGCAATCTTTTAATTCATCTGTCAATCGTTATTTTGCTCTACAATCTTCATCTTTTCTCTTCCAGTAACTTCCAACACTAATTAGTGGTTGCTTGTAGCCTTGTTGGAAGCGAAGATAATTGAAAAAAAAAAATGATATTTTGGACAGGCTGTTAAGATTTTTTCAATATTATGATAAAGATTTTAATAAAAAGGTCATAAAGAAATTAAAATGATTTTAATTAGGTTTTGATAAAGGTTTTTGACAGTGTAACACTATGCAGTTATTTTATCTCAGCTCACTATGCTTAGCTTCATTTTCAAAGCTTTGGTTCTCATTCTCTGAGATACTTATACAAATTTTTAAGACAGTAAGGAAACAATAATACAGACTGACAATTGTTGTTTGAACTGTTTGATTTCATTTTCTATTACCTGCATCATTTGGTTACATTTTAATCAATTAGAGTTTACTTTTTTTTACACATTTATTCAAAAATACCAAAGTACTTTCAAACTATGTTATAATAAATATTGCACATTCATTTTTCAAATGCCAGTTATAAACTTGATTTATGTTGTAACTTTATATACTACCAACATAATAAGTTGAGAGTTTAATGGAAGTGAATTTTTTATGAGAACAATTTTTTTCTCAGCTAAGTTTTTGATGGTTTTTATACAAAAACTGATGATAGAAATATGATTTTTTAAATGTTAAAATAAAAATTATTTTTTAAGTAATGCAAAAGTTATGAAAAATTAATTTACTATTTACTTAAAGTAATACTTTAAAACCACTTTTTACTGAAAAGTAATTATAAGTCTAGAACATACCTGCTCAATAAGTGGGTGCACTCTGCAACCTAAATTAAACAAAAAAATATATATATAGAATACATATGTTTGTATGTTGATTTTATCAGGGATTTTACCTGTTTTTAATAAAAATAATCCAAAATAAATTTCAGAATATTGTATAGCAGTAGAGCACTGGCTTTTAAAACAAAAATTCAAACCTATGTCCCTGAATATACAATGCTTAACATGTTTGTCCATGGAGCAAATTTATTCATCAAGATTCATGTTTAAAACTTAAAGTGTTTGAACAAGGTTCATGTTTAAACTTAAAAGACAGAGAAGTATAATAAGGATAACAATAGTTAAGAAAAATTAAATTTTGTTAAAAAAGAATCAGACAATAGCTGGAAGAGTCAGAATGTTTTTAAGAGTTTTTAAAAATAGTTAAGAAAAATCAAATTTTGTTTAAAAAGAATCAGACAATAGCTGGAAGAGTCAGAATGTTTTTAAGAGTTTTTAAAAATTGGAACCGCAGATGCCATTTTCCAGCAGGTAGGAAAACAAGAATCAGTTAAGCATTAAGATTTATTTTAATTATTTTAGAGAGGATAGAAGAGAGTTTTAGAGAACACTTTTGTAAGATCGTGACAGAAATGTTGTCCAGATCACAAGCTGTAGAAGAGTTTAATTAAGAAATGACTTTAGCAACAGAGTGATTTCTATGTCTAATAATAGGTTAACCTGTTTAACTGGAATGGCAGGAAGAGTATGGCCATTAGATTTAAGAGCCAGAAGAGACGGAAAGTTCTTTGCTTATTCATGATTATTTTTTTGCTTATTTATATAGTTGACTTATTTGTGGGAGTCGAAATAAGATCAGACCCATGAATTAGAGAATGTTAAACTATATTAATGACACTGTCGAAGATTTTCTAAAAGTCTCTAATACCTAACTTCTGAGATAAAATATAAGATTTAATAAACTAGGAATATTTGAGCATCAGACAGCACCTTTTTACACTGATTTCTTGGAATTAAAAAAAAGGCACTTGCTCTCATGATAGTTGTTCCTTAAAAAAAAATGGGAAAAAATGGACAAAAATGATTACAATTAGATATAGTATAGAACAAGAAAAGAATACCATGGAGTAAAATGGGGCTTGACTTGTAATTAACAAGAAGGAATTAAAACTTTCATGCCTGTTTGGATCTAGGTTACATATAAGGCACATTTATCAGCCAAGAGACAAAAGATATTAGCTCAAGGACCATCAAGAAGAAAATGACAAAAGAATCCCGTCAGGAATTATAGGCTATACGGTAGTAGTAAGTGGTGCCATGATAGGGTGAATCTGCAGAATGATAGGGTGAATCTGCAGAAGAAGTGTGAGGTGAAAGATTTATAGAGATCATTTCATGGTTGAAATCACCAAAGGAGAAACTGAACACAAGCTAGAGGCAGAGATTAGATACAAATTAAGGAGTCAAGTTAAGTTAATTAGTGTTGTCTGGATAAAAAGTTGCAAAGTTAACTATCTAAATAAGAGAATGAGAAATACAGAAGTAACAGTATTTAGTGCTTGCAGGGTTAATGATGTTAGAGCCGAATCTGATCTTTTTTTTAAATCTAATCTTTTTAATGATACTTAATCAAAAATTTATATTAAAAAGTTATATAAAAAAATTCTTGAATCGATTTGGTTGTATGTTTAGTATTATCATCCTGCTGGTATATCCAACAAACTTCTCTGTTTAAAATGTAATGCTAGCACACAAAAAAGTGCAAGATAGATGGTCATTTTTAAATCTATATTTATTTACTATTTGACTTAAAATAAAAGGCAAAAAAATACTTTGAAAAATTAATGAAAATTCTTATTTAAAAAAAGAATGACAAAATGAAATATTAATTTAAATTTTAGATAAAATAATAAACTGCAAAAAAAAAAAAAAAAAAACATTTATATAAATATTAAAGAAAATAATTTCATAAAAACAACAAAACGAATATTTTAATTAAACTCTAAATAAAATAACTTGAAAAAAAAACAGCAAAAAAATAAAAAAGGTTTTATATAAATATTAAACAAATTAAAATAAATATGGAAAGGCAGACATTTTATTTATAATTCTAAATAAAGTAATTAAAATAAAAACATAAAAACGAATGTTTTATTTAAGCTTTAAATATTTTAATTTTTATTTAAAATTTATTAATTTTTATTTCATATTTATTTAATATTTAATTAATTTTATTTAATATTTATTTTATTTAAAATAATTATAAACAGCAACAACAGAAAAAAAAAAATCGATTTAAATTGTAAATAAAATAATAACATTAAAAGGGTTGGGGTCAAATATGTATTTGTATATGGGCAATTCCAAGGCAAAAAATGAAAGAGTAGTTTAATGTGATTCTCTTTTTTGTAACCTTTTCAGCAAATGAATGTTGGTGTAGACACATAAAAGTTTATTAAAAATATACCTTTAGTACTAAAATTAATATATTTAAGTCATTTTTATGCTTCTGAAAGTTATAGTTTTTCTCATTGTCGCATAATAAAAAAACTATCATTGTAAAATGTTATTTTAACCATGAATTTAATTGCATAGTCGGAATTAATTTTGCGTGAAAATGGAGCTAACATGTTCAAATTAATGTTGGTCAGATTTTATACTTTATAAAATATATAAATTTCATGAAAATAACAAAAGAACTTTTGCAATTTTCTTGTAACGTAAGTTAACAAAAACATGTTAAAGTTTTGTTTTTTCTAAAATTTAGCTAAAAAACTAAAGTTTTTTAATAATATCTGCAAAGTTTTTTAATAATATATGCAAAAGAATATTAAAATTACATTTTTACATTTAAAGTTTTGAATAATGATGTGTTAAAGCACATTTTTATTTCAAATTTGTGTAACAAATTAAAATACTTGCATTTACTAAAGTTCTGGTACTATTTTGCTAAGTTTTTGTTTGCAAAATGAATTACGCCATTACATAATTTTTAATTCGTCGCGTTGGGTTGACAAGGTTCAACCAAACACGTGAAACCCAAGCGAGTGAAACTTTTTATATTAGAATTAAGAATAAAAATCTTTTTTGAATGTAAATTAAAATTATTTTTTTTTTTTTACTTTTTTATCTATGTATTCTTATTTTAGTCTAAAAATTCAACCTAATGAAAATAAGGCAATATGTATAAATAAAAGAAGTGTAAGTAAAAACTTTGACAAACCAAAGATTTTCTTATTTAAATGACTTAGTACAAATAAAGGTGTAATACCAAAGTAATTTTTTAAAGTTGCTCTTGGTCTTGCGGATAAACTGTTTTCGATTAGAAAACTTTAATAAATGTCATATAAAATCACTTAGAAAGAGTGCCACCAGTTTTTAAAATTTTCTTTGTTAATTACTTTTAATGAACGAGCACAACAGTTACACAATTTTTTTGTTACATAACTCTAGCTCTAGATAATAGATATAAAAAATCCATGAAAATAATCGCTTGGTAACGTAAGTGATGTAATGTAAGTTAAATGCAGAGTACCTCTGGTAAATTTTTAAATTAGTATAGAGTTCTCAACATCTTGTAAAAGTTTTTAATACTAACCGCTTCACTGATTCGCAGATATCTGACCTAAAAGTTTAAACAATTTTTTTACCTTGTTTTCCGTTTAAGGTAAGTTAAGTGGCATTTTCAGTAATAAGTTTGCCCTATTTTGGCCAGACTCAAAACTTCTTAGCTTATTTTATTCTTTAGACTAACAGCCTTCTTACAAAATAGATCAAAGTTTAATTTACAGTTTAAATAGACAAATATTTGATAAAGTTATTGCACATGTACCTTAAGTTAAAAATGGAAATACCCATATGGTAAAAAATGATTAAAAAATTTCTTAAATATTTGTATTTGAAAAAAAATACAAAAATTTTAACCAAGTATATTGAATATATAAATATAAATATTTCTACAGTTCAATATACTAGGTTAACTGGTGCTTTTTTAAAAATACCACAAGGTTGCTTTTTTTTACTTTATTTTTAACTCTAAAATAAATTAAAAATTTGTTTTTAAGGGATATTTGCTAGAAGACTTGTTTTCATTCTTCTATGTAGTAGGCCATTTTATCAGTCTTGTATAAAAAAATCTTATATTTTTTCTTGGCCTAAAGTACGAATATTTGTATTTGTATTTGAATTTGTTTTGAGAAATCTAGAATACACGTATTCGTATTTGATCAAATATATTTGACCCCAACCTTGAATATTAAAAATAGCAAAACAAACATTCAACTTAAATTATACTTATCTTTACCTAAATAAAATACTTTATACATAAAAATGTTTTTGCAATATTTTACAAAAGTATTTAATGAACAAAAGCGCAAAAGCGCTGGCCAAACAGAGAAAACTGATTTAACTTCAAAGCATTATATCTTTTGCGTTAGGTAAAATAATGTTCTTACGTAAATCTTTGTACATTTACTTGATCATCATAGTTCTAATGATCAAGAAATCTACAAAGAGTCAATGTAATGGTTTGGGAATGTTTTTTAAAACACCCATAAACTATTACATTTGGTTTATGATGGAAATTCTTTTTAAGCATTTTAGTTTTTCAAGAAAATTTATGGTTAAAAATTAAATTACTTTGATGTAAAATACATTTATTAGAAATGCTACAATTCATTCCATTGAAATGTCTCATTTGTATATATATAAATGTCTCATTTAAATCAACAGTTGTTAAAAAGTAATTTTTTTTCCTTATTTTCACAAACTTGTTACCCTAACAATGTTGCTTAACGTGGTTTTTCAGATTGCTTTTGATTTGTTCAGTAGCAGACTTTCCAACTTCATAAATTTGTGTCATCTAATGAAACAAATTTCCATTTTGAACTGGTCTTAAAATAAACTTTTTCACAGGAGATGATTTTTTTAATCTTTTTTTATCGCATTTCTCAGATCCCATGATTTCAATCACTTAAAAATAAAGCTTTTTAATAATTTCCCTAAAGTATTAGTTTACAATATGAATAAACTAGCAACTTTGTAGAAAAAAATTAAAAGCTTTAGTTAGTCCGTAAATTTTTAAACTTATCAAAAATCATTATTTTGTAAACCTATTAAAAAACATTAATTAAACAATCAATCTTCATTCAAAACATGATTTACAAAAAATTTAATTGGTACGTTATATGTTAAATTTAGTAAAGTACCTGCTGAAATATGAGTAAAGTACCTGCTGAAATACTAGTAAAATACCTGCTGAAATATGAGTAAAGTACCTGCTGAAATAATAGTAAAGTACATGCTGAAATATTAGTAAAGTACTTGCTGAAATATTAGTAAAATTCAAATATTTTTAGCCTATTCACAGACTTTGTTGCTACTGCATGTCATAATTGGTATAACTTTAAATATGAACAAGATTAGGATTAAAAATGTGAGAAGCATCACACAAGACTTTGCTATTCTTTATGCAATAACAATCTAAACAATTATTATTATGAGGTATCATGGAAACTGTCTTCACATTCTTTTTTATGGTTTTTTTGTTTTATTACTTCATAAACTTTTATGACTATTGTAACAATATGCAACTATAGAAATAGTTTTAAGAAAAATAAATGTGAGCACTAGGGTGATGTTATAATAACTTTTTTTTTTTAAATATTATGTGAAACCTTTTCTAAAGCATGAATAGTGTCCAAAACACAGTTTAATAAAAAATAGTTTAATTTTTAAAAATTTTATTAGGTCAAAAAAAAAAAGTTATTTTATAGAAATAAGACAAAAATCCTATTTTATTTTACTGTATTATTATTTTTTTTTACTGTACAAATTATAATATAATAAAATATAATAAAACAAAGTTTAAAAAGTTAGGTTATTGTTGATTAGACATTTTAATAAACATTTTAGTTAAGTACAGTTTTTCAAAAGAATCATCAGACTTAGCCTGGTAAGCTTGGATGTCCATAGCTCAGAGTCCTCTTAGAACAACCTCATTCATTCTATGCACATTTTTTAATGTGACTTCAACAACAAAAATATGTCTGCTCAGAGCTACTTGGGCTGTAATGCAGGCAGATGTGGCCTTATTCAGGTACACCCAATTAGGTTCTCCCATCGTTTTAAACTATGCATGTGACCAAAAACAGCTAATAAACTTTACTATTTCTTTCAATGATTGCCTTTCTTCTGGGATTAAAAGTAGCCCAGTAAGATATAAATTGCTTTCTGTTCAATCTTGCTGAGTGAGAACATGGTGAGTGAACATCTGAGTGATTATTTGCAAGTGAGAACATGGCAATTTAGTTGGTAGCTCTAGTTTAGGCAAATATTCTTATTCAAGTAATGGAAACCAGAAATTCCCTCGATTCTTATGAACATGGTGATCTAGAGTTGTCTGCCTTTCAATTAGAGGCCCCATTGGCACTTATGCCGGACATACTTATGGAAATATATCAATAACTAAATTAGAAAATTACTTTGTTTCTACTACAACAATCATAGTTAAACTAAATTTATAATATAATTAATATTAACTTCATCTAATTTAAAAACAATATAAATATTCTCTAATTAAGGATAATTATATTTAAGTAATCCTGATAAGTATATTTTTTTTTAATTTCTATAAAGTAACTTCTTTTTTTTTTTAATTTAATAAAATTTTCAAATATTTAATATTATTGATTCATATTATGGAAAAGGTTTCATGAGAAAATAAAAAAATGCTTTACCCTAGTGTGCATTTGTAGTATTTGAAAATCTTATAACTAGATCCTGTATAAAATGTTTAATATATCAGTTGAGGATGCTATTTTTGATCTAGTTACAAAAAGGTACAAAGTTATTTCAGGTCAACTTTTATACTTCATTGTTTGTTTTTATTTTTACTTATATTAAAGGTTTTATGAAGGAAAAAAAATTATTATCTCCTGATTATTTTCTTTTTAATATTTATTTAGTTGTTATTTTTATTTTTAGTTGTTACTATTTTTCTTTGGTTCAAAAGATTTTTCGCTTTAAAATTATTAAAGATGCATTATTTATATGCTTTTATAAAAAATTATTTAAAATATTTAACTTGAAATAAACTTATCACAAGTTGTGACTTGCAAAAAGGTATCAAATATGTCTCAATAAAAGAACTGATTGTTAATAATAATTTTAAATTTTAAACTGCAAATGTTCATGTTCATTCAACAACATTCTTACATGTTCATTCAACAACATTCTTACATGATTCTTGAGAATGGTTTGATTATGAAGGCGAACTTTTATCTATTTTGATTTATATATATGACCACCGTTTTTACTTTAAATTTACTTTGTATTTTACTTAAGATCACATTTAAAATGTGTATTATGATAACTATTATGATAACTGTTTTAATATTAATACTATTGACTGATTTAAGTGGGCATTCAATGGTAATTGTCTAATACTTTGATAAGAAACAATATTAAAGTATCTTTTGATACAATTTTGGTATCATATTAACATTTAGATTATAAATAGGATACCTTTGTAGCCTATTTGTACCTACTTTTGATACTATTATATTGGCACTAGATAGGAATCAACATTAAAACAATTTTGGATGAATAAAAACTAGATTTTGACCACAGTTTATTCAACAAACCCATATAATTAAAATTTGTTGCCTAACCTAAAAATTTATTTAGATTTGTTCAATTTTGATAACTTTTCCCTGTTAAAATTCTGCATTGAAGTCCTTTACAATGATACAACTATCTTGTATTTGATCAATTTTAATCAATAAAAATATCAATCTACTTTTGAAATATTAAGGTATCAAACTTTAAGAATAATATATTTTCAAAAATAATACTTTAGTAAAAAAATTTAACGACTCTCTTATCTTGCAATAAGTCGTTTTACATACCTTCGAACTCAATTCCAAGAAGCCTTGGGTAATTATTGGGATTATTATCGTCAGAGAGGTGAGCCTTAGCAATTTTGCTCATATGTAAAGACCTCTTTTTTTTATCTTTTGACGTCTTTTGAGGATGGGCATCGTCATCCACTGCTGAAGTATCAAAAATAAATAAAACGAATAAAACCAGGAACACAATTAAGAGTTCCTTAATTGTCATTGCAGCAGTGAATAAAATAAAAGCAAGTCCGCATAATATTTCCTAAAATATGTTTTTATTTTAACTGCTGTTTTTTAATGGTATTTACCGATATATATAAAAAAGCAGTTTTCGCGCGTTAAATAATTCTCTCTCCACAAATGCTCAGATAAATCGAACTCGAGCTCTAAATATGTCGTTATTTTATTCAAATAGTTGTCAAAAATATAAAGTTTGAATATTAATCTAAAAACAAGCATTATCATTAAATATAATTGTACTTACAATATGTATTGTCATTTTAATGTGTTTTACTATGCCTTGTTTCAGTGGCGGATTAAGACTTCTTGGGGCCCGGGACTATTTTTGTTTTTGGATGCCTTGTTTTGGCCCAGAGCCTAAAAATGACTCAAAAAAAAGGTCCTCTAAAATTTTTGCGGGCCCCTAAATTTTCGGGGCCCGGAGCTATAGTCCCCCTAGCTCCGCCCCTCCCCCCCCCTCGACCTTGATCCGGCACTGCCTTGTTTTGGTGTCCTAGATTTATAGTATGATCTGAGGAGCATTTTTTGGGTATAGAGCATGCCACATATAGAAATTTTTCCTACGTACAGACAAATTGAGAGTGAATTGTTTAATGCACTGCTATTGCTATTTTTATATCAGTAAACTTTATTTATTTATAAATACTCACATGATCATCATTACAATCATATGACAACCCTTGGAAACCAAAAAGGGCACTAGGCTGTTTTAAATATTCTAGAAATATTATATAAGATTGTATTTTTTAAAATACTTCTAAGGTCTTAGAATTCCTAGTAAATACAAGGGTACTAAAATGGAATCCTGTAAAAGTTTGGCATGAATTTTAAAAGATTAAGTTTTATGTTTGATTTAATAAGTTAATAAAAAATTATATTATACAACAACTCTAGTTGTAACTAATGCGTGATGTTATATTTTGAGTGTTTTATCTGTTCTTTGTATTTCGACTTTGTAAAATGTACAAACAGGTTGGTTATGAAAAAACTAGAATTTTTAGAAAAAATCTGTTATCTAATGTTTCTTCAAATTATCCATCTTTTCCATCTTCATTAAATCCTAATGTTTTATTGCTAGGGATTTCATTTTCGTATTTTGAGCTGTAGAGCAAAACATTTTGAAGCGCTTCAAAGGCATTTTCTAATTGAATATCAGATGGGCGTGGCTGGGCTTTGACGTTAATACCTTCGTCAACGCTATCTTCAACTTCATTATCGTCGTTTACAAAATTAGGGTTTAAAATCTGAGCAATGATATCAGCATCAGTAGCATATGAACCAATGGTTACTACACCACAATTTAAACTTATGTAAGATTTTGCTAAGAGATCTATTTGGAAGTTACTAGGATCTAACTCTCGCAAACGGTTAAGTGGTTCTGTCAAAAATTTCTGTCAAAAAGGATGATGATCATCAGCTTCTTCATTACTCTTCTTTGTTTTGCTAATACCATCTTTTTTAAAGCAGTTAATGGCAGTCTTCTTTGACATAGAATTCCATGAAGAAACAAGATTTTCATTGCTTGAAGTATAGAAATTTTTGGGAGGAGTTTGTTATTATTGACAGCCTAGATACACAAACGCACAATTTAATAACAATAGTGAGCTTTAAGACTTTGTATTACCCCTTTATCTATGGGCTAAAGGACAGATGTGGTGTTAAGAGAAAGAAACATCAAGTTGATATTGTTTAGCTCTTCAATTTATGGGAGGGCAAAACAGTTATCCACCAGAAATGCTACTTTCCAGTCTTAACGTTAAGACATCTAAGAGATTTTTTCGTGGTTATAACCACGAAAAGATGGACATAATCTACTCTTTTAAAAAGAGACAATATGTACTCTCTTCTTTCTTCGAAAGTTGAGAAGCCGAGGCGCAGTGGTAGCGCACTTGCCTCAGATCAAAGAATCAGTGGTTCAATCCCCACCACTGGGCAAGTTTTGTGACAACGATTAGGAAGGAGGCGTGAATTTCCAATTAAATGTTCATCCGCGGTACTCTGTGATAAGACCGTAAGGGCTTCTTGGAACACCTGAATAATAATAAAAAAAAAGATAAGTCAAGCTTCCTCTGTAAAATGGTCTAAGGTTTTAAAGCAAAGTACAATAGTGAAGCTATTGTATTAAAACAATAAATTACTTAAAAAAAAAGATTGCTATGACGGATGTTAAGATGGCAGTGGAGCCATCTTCATTACTGATGTATTTATCACTCATGAAGTTAATTAGTTCTATAAAACTTTTCTCAAACAAGTTTGGTATTTGTAAAAGTTAACAATAAACACATATACCAAATGATGCTAATTTAATATAATATATCGCTGAATCCTTCATTAGCTCATAGCTTAATTAGGAAGCCCTATGACGGCTGTTTCGTTGTTGGTAATTTACAATATCACATTTCCTACGCCCAGACAACCTATAATTGCTCAAACCATATGTTGGACTTGTTATTTACCGGCAGCAGTAACTCTATTTTAAAATTTTTACATAATGCTATCTTAGATAATAATACTAAGGGCCACTTTTATATCAATTAATTGAAGCAATCATATCGTTGAAGCAAACTTATTGTTTGTCACGGCAGCACTTTCGTCTAAGATTATTTAGAACAGAATAGTTGAAATTTTAATTACACGTTTAAAAAAGTAAATAAATTAAATAAAAACAGATACATGTTTTTCTGTTTGTGTTTAAATTGAAGAAGATTTCAGAAAATCTAACTTACCTTTCTTTCCAATTATGAAACCAACAATCAGATGGTATAAAATCCAACTCTTCTAATGCTTCTTCAAATTTAAGTGTCTTTTCTTTCAGTATGGTACTATCAATTGGTACTTGTTGACTTCTTTTTGCAACAAACCACGTGAAAATGGTGTTTAGATTTTCGAAATTACCACTACAAAGTTTCTAATGCTCAGATTTTGTGCCGTCTTTTTCCAGCGAGGTTAATAATTTGTTTTTAATTTTAACTTTTAAGGTTGACATTGTGTTCTCTGAGACAATATTATTGGTGTCCCAAAAATATGGTGCGCAACCACTTTGTTAGACATCCCTTTCTGCAGGTTTTTTAATGCCTTGCATTTTTTCTATTACAGATTTTTTTGTGAGAATTCGTTGAACGAGCGGCACAGTGAAGAATCCAGGATTACTTTGTGTTTGAGATAGCTAAGTTCCAGACATGGAGCAAACTTCAAACAATTATATGTTTATATTTACATCAAATAATGACGCTATGCAAAAAGTTGCGATGATTGGGAATGAAAAAGCTTTAAAAAGTTCAAAAATTAGGACCATATAAAATTTGTAATTACATCAAATTGAGGGGGGGTTTAAACTGGTCATTTGGTCATTTGGTAATTTTTGAACTCCAAGAGATAATACTATGAAACATAAAATTTATCGATGAACATAAGTCTAGTTGAAAATAGTACAAAAAAATATTTTATCAACTTGTTGCCTCTCACGTTTGAAATGGAAGAGAAGGGATGAAGAAGTTAAAGGGCTTTTGTTTCCACCCTCCAACCGTCGCATTTTTTGGCAAAGCATCATTATTTGACATAAGTATAAACATACAAGTGTTTGGAGTTTGCTCCATGTCTAGAATTTAGTTATCTCAAACACCAAAAAGTCCTGTTACCGTCACTTGAGCATCGTGCTATGGTGTTTGAAAAAACAATAAATTAATAAATTCGATTCCTAAAAAAAATCGAATTTAAAAATCAAGTTTTACAAAATTTCATAGCAATACTTTTCAGACATTGGAATTTTAAAAAATTAAATGTTATTAAAATATTTCTTGAAAAAAAATTCAAAAGTTCGAAAAAACGAAAGAAAATGCCCTGTGGTCCAAAAATATTGTTCGAGATACCAAAAAGTTTTAGATATTAAGGTTCGAGATATCAAGAGGATTTAACTTAAAAGAGTACGGTATGTCCAAGGAACCGCAAAAAAAGTTTGAAATACTCGAAAGATTGAGATATCAAGTATTCGAGATATTGAGAGTCGACGGTTATTAAAAGTTTACATACATATACATATCTACATATACATAAATACAAAGATACAAATACACTTTTATGACACGTACACAAAAACACATATACATACATATACACGTACACATTGACACATACATACATATATGAGTAAATGCATACATTCACATATATATACACACACGCGCGTAATTTATTTCTATTTTCATTTTTATTATATATATATATATATATATATATATATATATATATATATATATACATGAAAATCTGATATACTATTATATGTTATATAATATATGTACTGAGTATTCATTTGACATAAAAGTGTTAAGAATATAAAAGAGTGTTTTCAATGAATAAGATGATTTTTTTTAGGTTTTGTTTTGAAAAAAGGTAATTCCATTTGAAAGGAAAATCAAAGTTTTTCAAAACTATTCGGTTCCAAAGAAAAGCTCCTCGAAATGAAATACTTGGCCAAAAGTAGTTTAAAAAAGTTTGTTGAATTAAATTTTAAGTTTAAAAAAACATAACCTTTCAACTATTTATACAAACAATCACAAATTATATAGAGAAAATTGGAGTCACGTTTATGAAAGTAAAAATGTAAATGAAGCGTGTAATTTATTTTTAAACAAATTTCAAGAGATTTTTAATATAGCGTGTGCCAATGAAGTAATAAAATAAAAAACAAAAATACTTGCTAATCCATGCATGGATAAAACACGTATAAAATGCTCTAAAACCAAACAAAAGTTATACAAAAATTTCTCAAAAGTAATAACACAGTTAATGAAAAAAGTTATAAAACATACAAAATAAAAAGCAAAACTATATAAAGTTTTTAGAAATACTTGTTGATAATAATTTATCATGGCTTTACCTTTGAAAATCAAAAGTTAGTAATACCATTAATCTGATTTACCGAGTTCGTTCATATGTAAATACAGTTTGTCTAAACTTAATATATTTTTATTTAATTCATTGTTTTATTAACTATGCTAATATTACATGGGGTAGTACACAACTAACAAAACTTAAAAAAATACATAGTTTGCAAAAACATGTGTGTAGAATTATTTACGGGAAAAAAAGAGGGGAGCCTACTAAACCCTTAATGAGAAATATAAAAATTATGAATGTATACGAAATAAATAATTATCAGCACCTAATTTTCATGCATAACTATATTAATAAACTAACTTCAGCTAATTTCTCAACTCCAGGTGGTATAAAAGTTGAGCAGCGTTTGCGGGAAGGAGGCGTGAACATCCTATTAAATGCTCTTCCGCGGTGCTCTGTGATAAGACCGTAAAGACTTCTTGGGGCACATTAATTAACTTGAAATAAAAAAAAAATTTATTTGCAAGTTTGAGAAAAATGTAAATGAAAAGTATTTCTTAAGAACAAATCAATGAAATTCCTTCAAACTCCAAAAAGAAATTAAATAAATACACAGAATATTCAATAGCATATCGAGGACCTAAGTTATGGAATTCTTTTGAAAAAAAAAAAAAAATACAAATAAAGTAAAATTATTAAAATTATTTAAGTTTCTAGCAAAACTTGACATTTTTAATTTTGCGGAATAATAATTTCAAAAAAGTTTAGTAAATTTATTTATATTAATTTTACTTATCATTCTTACTTACTTATTCTTACTATACATTCTTACGTAGTTACTTTTGATATATGTGTTTTTTAATATATTAATTATTAAATTTTTGTGTATACGTTTGTATTTATTTCTAAATCCGATAAAATATTTAAAAATATTAAATACAAGTACATTTCATTATTTATAATAGTTACGAGACCGAAGAACCTGAAGAAGATAAAATCTTATCATCAGTAACCTTTGGTAATAAAAATTGGAAATAAAAGTGTATTGTTAGAAAAAATCATGTAAAGAATCTTGGTTGGTAATAATTTCGATTATGTTCTTTTTAAATTTTTGAGAGGTATTGGCTTCTTTAAGTTTACCACTCAGGCTTGTAAAGTGCATTGCCATTTCCTATCGTGGCCCATAGCATTGGGCCACGATAGGAAATGGCAAAGCTCGTAAGTTTTGATATACGGAATGGTTTTTTAAATCTTCCGGTAGATCGCGTGTTGTATCGGTTTAATGTTTTAGGGAAAATATTTTCGAAAACCTTCGATTTGTCTGGTTTTATATAAAATGCCAATACTTCTTAAGATTTTATTGCTAATATGTTTAATATGATCTCTCCAAAATAAGTTTTCGCCTATTAAAATACCAAGTAATTTATTTGTGAATGAGCGCTTAATTTTGATGTTATTTATATAAAGCATTGGTAAGGATTTTGGAATATATTACAACTTTCGTTTAGAATGGAATAAGGAAAATTTAGTTTTATCAGTGTTTAAAGATAGGCTGTTAGCGATAAGCCAGTTTTATATTTGTTCTAGTTCTTTATTTGCCACTTGAAATAGAAAGATACTATTGCTGTGAGAATAGAATAAAGTGGTGTCGTCTGCAAACATAATAGTAGACATAGTATTTGATGCTTTATATAGATTGTTGACACAGATTAAGAACAGCAGCGGACCTAAGATGGAGTCTTATGGAACCCCGCATGATATTTTAAGTTTGATTGTCTGAAAGCCATCATTTAGATAAATAAACTGCTTTCAATCAGTTAGGTAACTGGTAAACCATTTATGGCATTCGTGGCTTATTCCATAATATTTTAGTTTTTCTTATAAAATCTGATGGTTAACGCTGTTAAATGCTTTTGACAAGTCTAGGAATATACCTAAGGTGAATTTGTTATGAGAAGATGCTCCACTGATAACTTCAACAAGTTGCATAAGTGCATGATCCGTAGAGTAATTTGATCGAAAACCATATTGGTTATAATAAAGAAGATTGTTATCATACAAAAATGAAAATACCCTATTATATATTATACGTTCGAGGATTTTTAAAAAAAAAAAGGTAATACCAATATTATTAAAGGGGCTCTATCAAAAGATTGAGGTGAGGTGATATTTTGTGAGGTAAAAAGATAGAGATGTTGGTGAAACGATAATGCACCATCCATATCTTCTTTGAGTCCCTTCGTCTGTTTTTAAAATATTTTATTTATTGATATTTACCATATTGATATTAACTTATCAGTAACTTATTTTAACAGCGAAATATAAAATTTTTAAAAATATACATAATTTCTTAGTTTTATTTACTTTTATCTTTAAAGGTATGCAGATATTTTTTTTTTTTTGTTACTATTTTTAGGTGCCCCAAGAAGACCAAACGGTCTTGTCACAGAGCATTGCGGAAGTGCATTTAAACATTAAATTCATGCCTCCTTCCTTATCGTGACGCGAAAATATGTCCAGAGCTCGTTTCGAACCTGGATCTCCTGCCTATAAAGCAGGCGCTCTAACCACTGCGCCACGGCCACATTTTTTTTAATTTTTTATTTAATTAAGGTGCCCCAAGAAGTCTTTACGGTCTTATCACAAAGCACCGCGGAAGAGCATTTAATAGGAAGTTCACGCCTTCTACCCAACCGATATCGCAAAACTTGTCCAGAGGTGGGGTTTGAACCACGGATCTTGCGCTTCTGAGGCAAGTGCGCCACGGCTGCTAGATTATGAAAAGAAATAAGAGACGAGTTAGTTTTATGCTTATACATAAAAACAAAGTACGTTAAAAATATTCAGCTGATAAGTATTAATGTTCATTTCAAATAAGAGAGGCTTGGCATGAGCAAATCTATGTTTAAAATTGATTAGACGAGCAACATACTTCTGCTGACGATAAAGTGGTAACAGTTTAGATTTATTGGTATTACCCCAGAAAATGTTAGTATAGTTTAAATATCAATGAATAAAAGAGAAATATAGTTGTGTTAAAATTCATTTATTTAAAGTATTTCTTGCGTTATACCTTATTCCTATACATTTAGCAATTTTTTGGCACAAATATTCTATGTAATATTTCTAGCTAAGACTTTCATCAAAATAGACACCTAAAAAGTTAGTATATATATTTCTCATTTTATTTGTAATGTGTCTATAAAATTAATGGGCATTTCATCAGGCAGCAATTTATTTTTAGGAGTTAGATGAAAAAGTGTCCAATTTATTTTATCAACATTGGGAGTCAACCTATTTATTTTAAACCAGTCACAAATTTTTGTTAAGATTTTAAAACAATGTTGTTATGCATTGATGAATTAAAAAGAGATTAGTATCATCACCATTAATGTAAATAAGAAAGAGAAGGGGTCCTAGCATAGAGCCCTGAGGGACTCTACAAGTTAAATCTAATAAATTTGAAGATACAGTTGAATTACTATTAACTAACTGTTTACGGTTGATTAAACAACTTTTGAGTAGCATTAAAAAGTTTCTTTCGATTCGATTTTCTACTCGAATTTTTTAAATATAAATTTTTGATCAGTTTAATCTAAGTCAAGTCAATGAAAACTCCCATTAATGGGATTATATATTAGGATTATATATTGGGATTTCTCAAAAGATTCAGCAATTCTGCGGATAATTTGGAATATTACGTGTTTGTTAATTACTTTTTTTTGTATATCTATATTTTCATATTTGAAAATGGGAAAAATAAAAGGCATATCACAATTGGAGAGAACAATTTTATACCAAATATATGGTGCACAATATGTAATACAAAACTGAAAAATTTAACAAAAAAAGCTTTCCGCGGATTAGAATTACTCTTCTAAGGCGGATATAATTTCAAAAATTTACGCTGTTTAAATCTAAAACCTAATATTCTTTTCCACTAAAAACTAAAATGATCAGATCTTTACAACAAATGATGATAAAACCAAACCGCAAGTTACTTAAAAACTTTTTGTACAATAATATATCATATAATGATATAATATCATGTTAAATTCAGTATAGGAGGGGGTCGGACCTAATTTTCGCCCCGCAAAACCTATGATTCAGGTTATTTGAGTATAATTATGATATAAAAAATTAATGATTTTGGGTAAATTAATACAGATTTGAGGGGAAAGGGGGTCTGACTTTTTTAACAAATTTTTTTAATAATTTGAAATTTTGTTTTAATTTGTTTAGTGAAGAAATTGAAACATTAAAGATGTTGATCAAAAAATACTATTATTATAGCTGCCTGTCGTACAAAAACCAAAATTATAATTAGATGTTTAGAAGAACCTTTTTAATTTGCAGTAACTCTCTTTGATATAAAATCTAAGAACTTCAATTACAAAAACTTTTTTCTTTAACTTGTTTGATATAAAATACTCTCTTAACAAAACTCGTGTCCTTTTTATTACAAGAAATATATATCTTAAAAACATTAAAATACATAAATCCTTTAATACGCACACACATATATATGTGTACATATATATAAAAATATATATATATATTTATATTTACAATTAAATATATATACACACATATATGTATGCATGCATGTGTGTGTGTGTATATATATATATATATATATATATATATATATATATATATATATATATATATATATATATATATATATATATATATTTATATATATATATATATATATATATATATATATATATGTATATATAATATTATTTAATTTTATATAAAATAAATATGAGGGGGAAAATTAATTCACAAAAGAAATGATTGCAATTCACTTTGAATATAGTGTTTCTAACTTTTTTTTTGCATAAATAGCAAAAAATCGCAAAAAAAAAAGCTCAGCGGAAAAACAAAGCCATTCAATAGGTTCACGGTTTTCCAGCTTTTCTTATTTTAAACAATGAAGTGCTACTCCTCTTTTTTTCCTTGTCTTTCTTTTGAACTTCGTCTTGTTGATTAGGAATTGAAGAGATCTGTGGACTATTCATCATTGACAGCCTTTTTCTAGAATCTTCATTGGTTATACTTGTGTCAATTGTATTTCCTCTTATATTTTGTATCCAAAGTGACATTTCGTCAACAGACTTCGCATTTATTAAATACTCGCATCCATTTGATAGTTTTATTCGGAACGTATATTTTTTCTTGTGGTAATCTGAAGCCACTTCTACCTGACTCTCGCTCAGATTGAATTCGGATTGCAAATTAACACCCTTCAAAAGAAAAGTTTGTGTTATTAAGGTTATTAAAAAAAAGTTACCAGCATAAAAATTACAGCAAAATAATGTCTGAGAGAATGCTTAAAGGAAGTTTAACATGGTTTTTAAATGTAAAGTGCAAAAAATTGTCGTTGATCACACTATAAAATTTGTCTTTGTTAAACAAACTAAAAAAAAATATCTTCGTAAATAACACTATAAAAATTGTATTTGTTAATCACACTAGGAGAATAATATTTCACTAATCGGTATAACGGTTTAATAATTTTAGAATTCTTTGAAAAGAAAGAAAATTTTCTTTCCTTTCAAAGAATTTTTAAATAAAAACAACATATTTTCAGAGAAGAAATCTCTAAAATTTTTGTCTCAACGTTATTAGCAGCTTTTTATAACAGAGGCAGCATTTCCGAATTTTGTTGTTTCATGTTTGTTTGAAGATTTGTTGTTTTACCATCTTTCACAACATTTGCATCTAAAATCTGTCATTCTGCAGTAAAAAAAGTCACGTAACGGTTCTTATTGTGCCGGATTATTTTTTTTCTCACTTTTAATAATCTACCATTTTGATGTCAAAATTTAATTAAAAATAATATTAATGAAAGTTGATTTTTTTTTCTTTCCTAACTAAAAAAAAACTAAATTTTATTACTAATTTTTACTAATTTTCAATTTTTCAAACTAACTTATTAATTATTATAAGGAATATTATATTTCATATAATATTCCTTATTATTGTTAATTAACATGAACAATTAAAAAAATTAAAAAAAAAAAAATACAATTAGAAAATAAATTAATAATAATAAAACCTGCAAAGCATCTTGCTCATCCTTGTAAAAAAATAAAAAATAGTTTTTCAAAACTGCATAGTACTCTTTCCAAACCCTGAAATAAAAATTTTGTATCAAAGTAAAATCTATATTTAAAATTTACTTTTATTCAAAAGAATATTTTCTACCTCTGGTGTGCTTTCTTATTTTGAGCTTCCTTAGTGGGTTTTCTTAAAATTAAACCCTTCATTTTTATCTCGTTTCCATTCATTTTATCTTGAGCAACAAATATAAAAAAACATTTATAGAATGTAAATATTATAAATAAAAAATTCTTTATCACCATCCTTAACACCATCATTAACATCATCACTATTGTAATCATCAACATCATTATTAACATTATCATTATCATCATCACCACAAAAAAGAAATTCTTTTAAAATAAAATAATAAAACAAAACTTATACTTGTATTACCATTTTCATTAACAATGGGATGAGGTGACAGTTGAGATGGTGATGATGGAGGAGTTGATTCCTAAAAACAATAAATGTAGTAATAAAACTAAAAAATCATAACACAATTCACTTATATAAAGTACTATCAGTTAATTAGAAACCGTTATCGGGACTGAAACTTGCTGAATTAGAATATCTTCTTCTTGAATCATTCTTTCGTTTTGTTCTTTTATCCTTTGAGCTTCAAGTTCCAACTGTTTAATTTCTGCAAGTTCTCGTTCTAAGATCATTAAAACTATTTAAATTCTAAAAATGTCTATTTCTAAAAACATTCAAACTTTTTTATATTTAATATATTATATAAGATTTAAGTTTAAAAAAGTATTTTATTTTAATATATTATAGTTTGATGAAAAACTTTTAAAAACAGACACAAAAAAAATTTTTTTTTAAAATATAAATTTGTAACAAGAGCAAAAAAACGCTTCTTATTGTCTTAAAATTTTTTAAACATTAATAGAAAAACATCTTTAATGAGATGTAATTCAATGCAAAGAAATACAGAAAAATTAACCATCGGTATCAACAAATATCTTGCTATCCCTAGATTAACTTATTGCACCATTAAATTAACTTATTGCATCATTCGTTAATTGTACTAATCTCTAATTGCAATGACAAAAATCAGGAATTTTATAAATGAAATGATAAACAAAACAAAACAAAACAAAAAAAAAAAAAAAAAAAAAAATAGAAAAAAGAAAAACCAATTCGTTCTTTTTCTTCTTTTTCTCTTTTAGCAGCTTCAACCTGCTTTTGTCTGGCATTTCTTAATTCAAACGTTGTTAGACGTTCTAAGGCATGAAAACGCTCCTGTTGATTAGATAGCAAATGTTCAAAGTTTGAATGTTTTTCAATAAGTTTCATTATTTCATCCACTGATAAACTCTGTAAGGAAAAAATCATTTACAACATTTATTTTACTGTCTACTGTTGATGAAGTGTTAACAAACATATCTTATATTAACATATATTATCTTATGTTAAATATATTATGCACTGTTAAAATACTACTTGCAAAAACAAAAACTTATTATAAAATATTTATAAACAAACATACATCAAACTCTTTTCCAGAAATAAAGTGACCATTTTGAATAACCCATTCTTCGGCTAAGTGAGCTTCTCTTGCAAATTGCATAACCTCAGATGCTTAAAAAGAAATATTTAAAAAAAGATCATCTAAAAAAACTGTAATAAAAAATGTTTTAAAAACATTAAAAACATTTAATGTTTTAAAAACTAAAATTGCATACTTAATTGGAGATCTTCCCAATGAACATCCCATTCTTCTTCAAGCATTGTTTTTTTCTCACGCAAATTTTCAACCTTTTCTTTTATATAAAAAAATTCAGAGAGTTCATTTGCTACTTTAAAAACATTATTGAACTTTTCCTCTTTTGTATCCATTTCTGATTTGCGTCCCTGATGAATGCTCATGATGTGGTCACAATCTGGTATGTCCCTAAAAAAAGTAATATAATTGAGATATCAAAAACTAATATATATTAAACTTTATATAACTAACATACAAACTAATATTACTTTGGTTTATCATCAGATTCTATCTGCATTCTAATGTCTTGAATCCAAAGTAAAAGATCTTGGACTTGCATCAACCACTCTTGGTACACATTTGACTGCTCAAGCCTTAATCCACGAACACTGACACGCTGTAGCAAATTTTGCCAAGCTTTTACAACTTCGGCTTCTTTATCAATAATCATGTTGTGGGGGTTACCAGCATAGCTCAGCTTTAATTTTGAAGCAAAAACATGGATACCTTCAACCTGTTAATTATAAGACTTGTTTAACTGCCACTTAGATAAACAGCAACAATAATTTTACAGATAAAATTCATAAAAATTATATCTTTATAAAAAAGTTAAAATTTATTACTTGCAGCCCTAAAGGCTTCAGATCAGATTCGAATGCTTTATGATATCTTTGAAGCGTATAAACAGACTGCTGGTCTCTTCCTAAATCCTCTGTAATAGTTTTTTCTTTTTCATCTATTAAGCTCAATGTTTCTTTAGCTATGTGAAAAAATCTGTGGTATTCATGACCTGCAACTAAAAGCTGAAAAAAAAAAAGAAATTTTTTTTTAAAGTATATGAGGTTAATATGCAAGAATTGCAACATTTTCACATTTTCTCGTAAAAATAAACATAAGTAAAAAAAATTTTCTTTGTGGATTAAAAATATTTTGATTCGATTCATGATGGTGATTCCAAAGTTTAATTTTATTTATTAAAGGAAATATTTTATTTAGATTATTTTTACTCCATTAATATATCTTACTCTTTTTTTTTTAAATTTTTCCTCATTCAGTATACTTAGCTTCAATCACAATAGCGCTTAATTTTTTGTCCCCTCATTGATCAAAATGTGAACTAAATAATATTCAATCCTTAAAATAAACTCAGTATTTTAGTAGTTTAAAATGGTTTGTGATTTGCAGCAATACCTTTAATCTCTCTTCTGAGAAAACTTGCAAGGGCTCATTGTGGCTGGTTTCTCAGATAATCTTTCACTGCTGAGCTTTAAAGAAAAACCATATACATTCAATTGCAAAGTAAGAATATGGTTGTCTATCCAAGTCAGCTAAGGTTGTCTCTCTTTACCATGCCTGTAAGTTTCTTACTTCTGATTCCATACTGAATCTACCTCTATAACCTTCGTCCTTGAATATAGAATAATGTTGTTATAATTTAACTGATCTTTTAATGATTTCTCCAAAAACAAGACAAGCTCTAAAGACTTTTATTTATCTAAAATTTTGCCTACCATATAAATGCTTTAGAGTTCTTTCTTGTTTTTATATTTTTCTAACTCATATAATTTACAGCTTACTAATTCTTCTGTCAGTTTCTTGTCCTTTAACTCAGTTCTTTGCTTTCTGTTAGCTTAGTTTCTGTTAGTAAGTGCTTAGTAATTTAACTCCGAACTTAAACCATAAATGCTTAGTAATTTAACTCCAAACTTAAATAATAAGTACTTAGTATAATAACTCCAAACTTAAATAAAAAGTGTTTCGTAAGGATTATCCTGCTTTCGAATTTCAAAAAAATTATGAATTTTTTTATCTCGCAAATGTCTCGAAATGCATCAAAACAATACCTAATGGCTAGTGAGAGTGTTAGTGAGATAACATTTTTAATTTGTCAGCATCGTAAAGACAAGTGCAATATAATTTTTTATATAAAACAGTATCAATCACTATCAAGATGATTAATCCAACTTCAGAGCTTAGTTGGAAATCAATTAAATTTTTTTTTTAAATTCATTATTTACAATAATGATGTCATCACTGGCTAATATTATAAAGTTTTTTATAGAATATATATATATATATATATATATATATATATATATATATATATATATATATATATATATATATATATATATATATATATATATATATATATATATATACAGACCTTGTATGAAATATTGTTACATAATGGAAAAGCTTAAGTCAAGAAAATTTAAATTTACTCAATATCCATTATTTACATTGTTAAAACATAATTAAGTCAGTTGCATACTTTATAATACTGCATTATAATTAAATTTAATTTGAAACCACATTAAAAATCATTTAAAGTACTTATTTTTACAAAATATTTGTAAAATAAATTGTAAATTAAACAATATTGTTTTAAAAAAATTATTGATAAAAAATAAATGTTGTTTTAAAAAAATAATTTCCTTATTTTAAAAAACTTATACTTAAAACATATTTAACAAAACATCACAATTTGCTTAAGGGTGAATTTCTTAAAGAGATCCCAAAACTCCAAAAATGTCAAAATGTTGTGTTCATATTAAAGAGAATGATAAAAAAAAAATGTTCGGGCTAAATTTTTTGAATCAAACAAAAAAATAAACACCAACCAAGAAAAGCAAACTTTTTTATTTTAGTAAACTTGCCTTCTCCTTTTTGTTATAGGCCAAAAGTCAGCATAATATATGCCGCAATATACAGACTTGATAATTAATTCAAGCGCTTTTTATTCCTAAGAGTTTTAGTAAATGGCATTATTGATTTTTTTGTTTGTTTACATAATCGATCTATCACACAATCCCAGATATCCGGGACACCTTAAATCTTCACCTACTACTCATAAACTAGTTAATCATTTCTAATTGACATTCATTTTAAGATCAATCTAAAAACTTAATGATAATGAAAATTTTTATGTTAAAAAGCAATTTTAAAACTAAAAAAAAATCATTTTTTCATTATTTTGTAACATAAAGTTTACTTAAAAAATTCTCTAAAATATTTTTATCTACAGGCTTCATTATGGTTTATCCAGCAATGCATTTACATACAGTTATAAGAAAATTAGTACAAAAATAGCATCTGCTAAGGTTGCATCTCTTTATCAAGCTCATCACTAAGGATTCTATTCTTTATTTTTATAAATCTCAAATCCATCTTTGTATGGAATACTGATGCTAAATCTGGGGCAGATCTTCTAATGATGCCCTTTCTCTTTTTTCTTTTCTATAAATATTATAATGGGCACTGCTCTAAAGAGCTAGCGTCTCTTGTGCTATTTACTAAAATTCATTTTTGTGTTACTTGTCATTCAATTAAGTCTCATCCTTTTACTATGACTGTTCCAAAGTGCTCCAAAAATTCTTATTCATCTTATTTTTTTCCTCGAACATCAGTTCTTTGGAATTTGCTTCTTTAACCTTATTTTCCTGCTACATATAATTTGCAATCTTAAAAGACGTCTTTTAATCGTTATCTTGCTCACAAACTCTTGCTCATATTCTCTTCCAGTAAATAGTTTTCCAACTCTAATAGTGGTTGCTTGCAGCCTTGTTGGCAGTAAAGATGTTAAAAAAAAAAAAAAAATTAAGCACTTTTGTATATGAGCACGTAACAGAATGAAAAAAATTATTGACTTGAAACTATAAATAAAAATAAATGAATAAAAAATAAATGAATAAAAAAATTAAACTATAGATTAAAAAAATGGTTGAATGCAAAACAAACATAAAAAAGTAACTAAAATTAACTTGGAATGATAGGAAATTTTAAAAATTAAAAAAAAATGTGAAAAGAGTGTTCAACATTAAAAAAAAATTTAAATTAAATTTAACAAAATAAATTTAAATTTATTAATTATTAATAATAAATTTACTTCAAATATAATAAAATAAATTAAATCAAAATTTTTTTAAAAACGGGAAGTAGAAAAATAATTTATTTAATCTGTTATTTTATCTAAAAAAAAAATTGTTTGTTTATGTATTATATTAAAATAATACAAAAACTCTTGTGAGTAAAACAGCATCCAATTGAGCATTGTTCACTATCGTTTTTTAAATTTTCACTATTGTTTTTTAAATGTTTCATAATTTTTGATCTTCATTCATTCAGAAATAATCTGAAATGCAGAGTTTAAGTAAGCTTAAACTCTGCATTTCTTATTCTAGTTGAACCTTTTGAGTAGAGTATCAAATAAAGTATACATGTTAAACCCGTTGACTCAAACATTGGTTAAATTTGGTTAAACACTGGGTAAACTTAATGTTCTCAAGCAATTAATTTCTTTTAGAAATTTAGATTGAAGCTTTTAAGCCATTTGTTAATTTTTCACTCTTCTCTTGAAAGTTTCATTTCTTCCAACTTATTTCACACTATATGTTAAACTCATAAACTTAACTCTGTGTTTATTAAGTGAAATAGAAAACACAAAACTTCACAATTTTTGAATTTTTAAAAATAAAATATTTGCAAAAATAAAATATTTGCAAAAATAAAATATTTGTTTAGACATCTATTAGGGTGTATTAATTGAAAAAAATCCATCTTTTTTATAAATAAAAAAAATTTTCTTCCTACTGGTATCTTATTATTTTTGATATATCAGATTGTATTTTTTCAAAATTCATGATTTAAAAAAACTATATCTCAGTTAAGTAAAGTTCAATTTTTATGTTTTTTGTGTCTAAGATGAAATAACTCCGAAAAAGAAAGGCATTGACAACAACAACAACAACAACAAGATATTTATTTTCCTTTTCAAAATGACAGGTCAAAGCTACTTGTTTAGCAGGCTTATTTAGAGGTATTGTCTTCACAGGTGTAAAACCTGTAATAGTGACCATCTGATTAAGAAATAACATTAATGTGTTTTTCTTTTACTCTTACCCTACTACTGTTTTACTACCTTTTGATGAAACCTTTTTGTTACATGATTTTTGTTACATGAATTTATTCTCCCATAAGCAAATATACCTTTAATAGGCTAATTTTGAATTTTCTTTTCTTCAGAAATCTTTGTTTTAGTCATTACTGACAACTTTCTTAAGATCTACAACCATATAAGATATATCTTTTTCATGAATCTTTTTCTCACTCAGGCGAGTACACTGAAAATGTTCAGAATCTAGACAACTATTTGATTTTGAGAACTCCTTATTACATTAAGTAATCTAACATTTTCAAGATGTAAAGTCTAGTGATCTAATTTAATTGCCCATGTACAGTTTTCAAGTTAGAAACTGTTTTCTAGGCTTCTCTGTCTTCTCTATCTTCTCAATAAAAATATCACAAAACTTATTCTAGGCTGATTCTATTTCTTGTACCAATGATATCTTGTTTATTACCACCAGAAATTTACATTAGATCTTCTTAACTGTTGAAGGAGCGATTCAATTAATTGTAGATATCACTTCTGAAGAATTAAGATCCACCCACGTCCACCCAATTATTGTGAAAAACTTAAATTCCCTTTTTTTTTTAAATTTGATTTTAGTAATTTTATGAGTAATCAGGTCTTCTGTTTACATCAAATCAATAACAGCAATCAACAAAATTGCAAGTACAAAATTAAAATAAGGTACAAAAGGTTTTTTGCTAATATGAATAATAGATTTGCTAATATGAATAAATTAAATTATTAATATTATTAAATACAAATAATAAATAAATACTTGAACAAATTGTTATAACATAGGTATTAACTAACCAAAGAAATTTATAATTACAAAGACTACAATTTTAGCAACTAGAAAACAGATAAAATTTTCTGAAATTGAAAAATTGTAAATAATTCACTTTTTTTTCAGAGCTTAGTTCTATATATAATCTTGATTTTTCAACAACAATCATTCTCAGATATACTATGAAGGGTTTTATACTTTTTTAATGAAATCCCTGGTAGCAACCCTCGGAATTAGGAAAAATAAGGTTGGCAATAATTTGCCAACCTCAATCTTTTAGAGATTGAGGTTGGCAAAAAAATTTGGTACAAAGGTCTTACCAGAAAACATAAGAACGAGGTCGGCAATCTTTTGCAGACCTCAAACATTTTAGGGTCATCAGTTAGTTCGGCATTGCTGAATTCCGAGGGTTGCTGGTAGTGAGTATCTGCATATATCTGGCAGTATGCCTGATAATGACAATTATTAAGATAAAAAAAAAAGAAATCCCCAGTAAGTAGAATTACTTTTAGTTTCTATATCTTCAAAAAGATGAAGAAACTAAAAGTTTGTTCATCTGTTTTAAGTGAAATACACTAATATCTATTTTGCTTTAAAAAATAAAAAAACAAATTCACATAGAGCAAAATTTAAATTCAAATAAAATTCAATTATAATCTAACATAAAAGAAAAAAATAAAATAAAATAAGCTTTAAAAAACTTTTTTGAGCATTGTAAAAATATTTAGAACAAACTTTGTATAAAAAATCTTACTTCTTTTCTTGTATCAAGAAGCTCCAACAAGCAGTCCCATAATCGATTTAGTTTGTCTTTCCATTCAGATATGATTGCAGAGTCTGAATGTCCTGCAGCTATTAACAGATCCACTACAGCATTAACAGTGAGCAATCTATCTTTGCCGGTTACTCTAGTCTCATTTGAAAAACGTGCAAATCTTTCTTCTAACATCTGTACTTGATCATAATCTTGTCCAATATCTTGAGAGCTTGCTATCACCTAATGTGAAAAAACTTCAAGCTTTAAAAAATATGTAAAATTTATATAACTATGTTGTACTAAATTTGTAAACTTGCTAGTTTTGCGAAATTGGCAAAGTTACTTTTTGACAAAGTCGACATTGGTGTTTTTAAATTTGCAAACACAGCGAAGTGTAAATACATTGACTGATATAACCATAGGTACAGCAAAGTGTACATACATCAACTTACATAGTTAAAGTGTACGCCAACTTATATAGCCAAAGGCAAAGAGCAGTAAAAATACATAGAATGATATAGCTATAGGTGTAATGGAGTGTACACACATCGGCTGAGAGTTTTGGCTTGAGCAGGCACTCTTTTAATACAAAAAAGAAAGTTTTTTATATTAAAAGAGTGAAATTTCTCAAATTTTTTATTTATCTTTTGTATATTTTTATGTAAAAATATACAAAAGTTTAACAAGTTTTTCAGTTACTTACTGTCTCGGTTACCAGTTTCTTAATTACCTAATAAATGAAAAATAAAAAAACCTCTCTGTCAGCAATCCATGATTCTAGGTCCTGTACTTCTCGTTGGAAAAGGAAAAGTTTTAAATTCTCATCAAGTTTGTCCCGCCGTTCACTTACTAACTCTTTTATATGCAAATAAAGTTGTTCTAGTCTCGCTTGTTTCAGTTGTGCAGCTTCACTAAAGACAAATAAAAAGTTATAAATTAAAAAAAGTAAATTATCAAATTATAATAAATTACAAGTTAAAAAAAAGTGTTAATAGTAATAATATCTACCTCTCAGGATGATTACGTGTAATAAGACCCTGCACAGTAGTTGCAGATTCTGCAACAGTATCTGCATAAAGTGCAATTGTATTTTCAAGAGCTATATGACTTTTTATCATGTTTTGAACTTGCTCTTGGTCTTTACCTCGATCATCGCCAATTAAAAACAGTTCTTTTTCACTTAACCAAGACTCTGCTTCTGCAGCATCAAAAAAAAACTAAAAAAAAAACAAACATTTACAGATTACCTTGAGGATAACAAGCCTAAAATAGAGAGAAATCTATAAAAAAAATTTTAAAAAAATTTAACTTTAATAAAATATAAGACCTGCTTTGCAACTAAAGCCTCATCAAGATTAGCTTGATACTCATTAGACAGATCTTTTAAACAGTTCCATTTCGCGCTTAAAGTAGATTTAAGCAATTCTATTTCATTGGATCTTGGGTGATTTTCTGTAATCATGGCATTACCATGATCAATTTTTGATACTATAAAAGGTTCATAACAACTAATTTTATTGCATAGTATCTAAAAGGAAAAAAAAAAGAGAATAAGTCTCATAGAAAATTTTGTAAGAAAATAAAAAGTGTTAAGGTGATTATTATTTTTTGATTGATTATTGATAAATTTTCTTTGCTTCTTTAAAAAAATAAGGTACCAAATGTCGTTTTTTTGAACGCTGAACATCATGTAATCGATTTCCAAAATTTTTCGATTGCAGTGTTAACTCAACTTCATCAATCCATACCTATTCAACACAAAGTATAATCATTATATATATATGTATATATATATATATATATATATATATATATATATATATATATATATATATATATATATATATATATATATATATATATATATATATATATATATATATATATATATATATATATATATATAGCATTGTGCTTCTGCT